ATAAAAGGTCAGGTAAGTGACTTAATGATCACATGAAAAAAAACCGACTAAATAAAACCCTAGTGAGACAAAATAGTTTGTCAAGTTAGAGATCTGATCTCAACGGCACTAGCATCCCCTTCCGATCCAGTTTGTGTGCGTGTGGATACCAGTAGAGGCACGACGCTTGGAGTGCTAATAACCTTGGTTTGTTTCATTCATCTTTCCGCTGCGAATAACATCCAGGTATATGCAAAACTCTAAGATCTAGATTTATTTCAGTATTTGCATGAGATCTAGACAAACTGAATTCATAGATTTATTTATAAATCGTTATAAACTGGTATAAATTTCCTACAAGGTGTTGAAAGCCAATGGTCGTCTGTTGCTGTTCGGTGCATGGTAAATTTTCTTAAAGCTGTTTTTTTCCTAGTCACAGTAAGCTAAGTATCTAATGGGTGGTCTTCTACTTTGTGATTTATTTGCTACTAGACATTTAATTGCATTGGATATCTGGTTGATGGACATCCCAAGAACCGTGATATCCTTGCTAGCAAAGTTCTTGGTGAAGATCGGCAAGCAGAACCTGCACTCAATTCTATCCTCCGGATTATTTTACAGACATTCTATGAGGTTTGTTGCTGCTGATTATGTCTTCAAGACCTTCTATGAGGTTTGAAACTTTTGTGTTATATGTTTATTATTTGATTGTGTAATGTGATCTTGCAGCTTATTGTTATTATAGTTTCATAGTCTTAAGTATCTGACACTCAGAAGTGTTACTTACATTCTCTAAACGTTTTCAGAAAAATCGGGAGGGTCAAGCAATGCTAGCTTCAACTTTAATACCCCAACCACATCTCACCACCCGAGATTCTCTAGAAAATGATACTAACATGTCATTTGGAAGAATGTTATTATGAGGCATTTGCTCTGGTGAAACTGATGGTGATCTTGAGGTGATTTTTTTTTGTCTCTCTGTTGAATGTAATTAAAACATCTTCCAGAACTAATCTTTTGATTTCAAAACAGACATGTTGTAGAGCTGCGAGCATTCTTTCTCATGTTTTGAAAGACAACATTCAGTGCAAGGAAAAGGTAATGGCTTCAATGCACCTACCATAACTTTTTATCTTAGCAATGTTCTGCATTGGCTGATTGTTTCAAAAACTCAAAACAGGCTTTGAAAATAGTACTTGAATCACCTGTGCCTTCCATGGGAACTTCAGAGCCTCTATTTCAGAGGATTATCAGATACCTAGCAGTTGAACCTTCCATGAAAACAAAGATAAATCAAAACCATATATTCAACAGATAATTTTAAAACTGCTTGTCACATGGACCGTTGGTTCCCCAGGCTGCAGTGCAATGCTTTCTAGATTCACCCCACTATCTAACGTATCTCCTCAAGCTGGTAACAAACCCGGCCGCAACAGTTTGCATAAGAGGCTTGGCTTGTACTCTACTGGGAGAATGCGTCATCTACAACAAATCAAATGAAAAGGGTAAAGATGCTTTTGCTGTAGTTGATGCGTGAGCCAGAAGATGGGTCTCACAACATACTTCTCCAAGTTCGATGAGATGCAGAGCAGCTTCATCTTCTCTTCTTCCTCCGAGAGAGCCACGCCTAGTGAAGCTGAGGTTGAGGACGTGGCAGATGAGGAACACCCGATGCTCATATAGTTGTTTGATCCTAGTTTGAGAGAATCGTGGATGTGTATAGTCGGCCAAAAAATGAGGTGGCTGTTGTACCGGTGGATTTGGAGCAGAGTAGGGGAGAAAGTGAGAAAGACTATATCAACCGCTTGAAAACTTTTATAGAGAAACAGTGCTCGGAGATTCAGGTACATACATACCTTCTTGCTCATTTTGTCTATTGCTATTTAGTTGTTTGATAGCAAAAAAAAAAAAGGAAAATTTTTAGTCTTCACATGTAACATGTAAAACATAACAAAAAAATACTAGTAGATTGTTAATCTACTTTGCGCACTGGAGACAATCAATATGCTGATCATGGGAGGTGCAGTTACGGACCCTGGAAAAGATTCAAACAAGCTGGCAAATAGAACAGTTTTAGACTTTTAGTTCAGGTTCGTGTTGCGATGTAAAGATGTTGTGGCTCCCCATTGTTTGACCGGATCAAATATGTTTCTTATTATATCATGTTTTGTCTAATCAACAGAAAAAACTGCTAGACCACCACCTGATGTTGGGTGTTGAAAGCCAATGGTCGATCGGCAAGCAAAACCTACACTTAATTCTATCCTCCGTACCATTTTTCAAACATCTAGTATTCAAGAGTTTGTTGCTGCTGATTATGTCTTCAAGACCTTCTGTGAGGTTTGCAACTTTTGTCTTATATGTTTATTATTTGATAGTGTAATGTATTATAATTTCATAGTGTTACATTCTCTAAACGTTTTCAGAAAAATCGAGAGGGTCAAGCAATGCTAGCTTCAACTTTAATACCCCAACCACATCCCACCACACGAGATCCTCTAGAAGATGACGTTAACATGTCATTTGGAAGGTATTATCTTCTTTTCCTTTCTTTCCTGCAGCTTTTCACAGTGTTGTTTTGTGTTGTTATCTTACTGGAATTTTATATTTGTGTCACTATGTTATTACGAGGCATTTTCTGTGGTGAAACTGATGGTGATATTGAGGTAAAAAAGATTGTCTCTCTGTTGAATATAAGTTAAACATCTTCCAGAACTAATCTTTTGATTTCAAAACAGACATGTTGCAGAGCTGCGAGCATTATTTCTCATGTTTTGAGAGACAACATTCAGTGCAAGGAAAAGGTAATGACTTCAATGCCCCCACCATAATTTTTTATCTTAGCAATGTTCTGCATTGGCTTACTGTTTCAGAATCACCAGTGCCTCTCTTCCAGAGGATTATCAGATACCTAGCAGTTGCATCTTCCATGAAAACCAAAGATAAATCAAAATCATATATTCAACAGATCATTTTAAAACTGCTTGTCACATGGACCATTGATTCCCCAGCTGCTGTTCAGTGCTTTCTAGATTTACGCCACAACCTAACGTATATCCTCGAGATGGTAACAAACCCGACCGCAACAGTTTGCATAAGAGGCTTGGCGTGTACTCTACTGGGAGAATGCGTCATCTACAACAAATCAAATGAGAATGGTAAAGATGATTTCTCTGTAGTTGATGCTGTGAGCCAGAAGATGGGTCTCACAACATACTTCTCCATGTTCGAAGAGTTACAGAGCAGCTTCATCTTCTCTTCTTCCTCCGAGAGAGTCATGCCTAGTGCAGCCGAGGTTGAGGACGTGGCAGATGAAGATCACCCAATGCTCATCGTTGTTTGATCCTAGTTTTACCGGCTTAGTGAAGAGCCTTGAAGGTTAGCTTTAGAGAGAGAGTCGTGGATGTGTATAGTCGGTCAAAAAGTGGGGTGGCTGTAGTACCGTCGGATTTGGAGCAGAGGAGCGGAGAAAGTGAGAAAGACTATATCAACCGCTTGAAAACTTTTATAGAGAAACAGTGTTGGGAGATTCAGGTACATACATGCCTTCTTACTCAACTCGTCTATGCTATTTAGTTGTTTGATTGCAAAAAGGAAGGAAAAATTTTAGTGGTCACATGTAACATAAAATTTTAAACTGATGACTGATGAGATGTTAAGTACTTAAGTGAGGATTAGGATGCATTGCATCTTGTTTTAACGGATTATAGGAATCATTTGAGTGTAGGTCTATAGATGGGATTAGTAGGAATTATCAGATTTTGCTAAGATAGGTTCTAAGAATCTCGTCCTATCGGAATTTTTTTTCTTAAAATCCAATTTATACGACTAAGATGAGTTTAATTATTCTAAAATTGGTTTAAATAGATTTAAATTATGCGATAATTTCTGTACAAATCCACAAATTTGTCTAGTTTCTTTTGTTTTGTATATCTAAACTTTATAATTCATCAAAAATAATTTAGAAATAAAACAAAACCTAAAATATTTTATATAAATCTAATAATATATATAAAATATAAATCTAATAATCGCTAAAACCTAGCAATTTTTTGAATATTTTTGTTATGAACTATATCTTATGTGCCTTAAAGAGGCTTATTGTCAACCTCTATATTTACCAGAACCTTCTTGCTCGGAACGCTACTTTGGCAGAAGACGTAGCCACCTCTGGCAGGAATGACCAATCTCAAGGATCAGAGCAAAGAGCAAGCACAGTAATGGACAAGGTTCAGATAGATAGCATCAAGCTTGAACTCCAAGAAACATCTCAGCGTTTACAGACATTCAGATCAGAAAAAGCCAAGATCGAGTCCGATGCATCAGAATATAAGAACATAGCTGCGAAACTTGAATCAGACTTAAAAGGCCTGTCGGATGCATACAACAGTCTGGAACAAGCGAATAACCATCTTGAGAAAGAGGTGAGATCGTTGAAAGAAGGAGAAAGTCCCATGGAGTTTCGTGATGTAGAAGCTATTAAGGAAGAAGTGAGAACGGAAGCTCAGAAAGAGAGTGAAGACGAGTTGGATGATTTGTTAGTGTGTTTGGGACAAGAGGAGAGTAAAGTGGAGAAGCTAAAGGCGAAACTGATTGAGTTAGGAGTTGATGTTGATAAGCTTTTGGAGGATATTGGGGATGAGTCAGAAGCTCAAGGGGAATCTGATGATGATGATGATGATGATGACAAGTAAACAAAATTGTAGAGATCAAATCTTCTCAGGCATTCAAGTAATTAACATCTACTTTCCAACATGTTAAATTGTTTTTGAAACATGTTACAATGCTGAAGTTTATGTTTACAGATTCCTATACATATAACAATGAACTCAATCTGTCAATAAAAAAGTCTTACCAAAACAAATAAAAAATTGCGACTTGGGTTTTGAAATATTTTAAAATGGAAAAGTCACATATTTTATTCCTTAGCTTCTGAGACTTATTCAACATTCAACCATTGGGGAGTTTTGAGCAGGAACTGAAAACTTGCTGATTCGAATTCTAACTTGCGTGAGCAGACGATGTCGTCAATGCCGGACATAACGGGATTACTGAAGAACACGGAGAAGCTTGATCGGTTACGTAAAGAACAAGAAGAAGTTCTTGTCGAGATCAATAAGATGCATAAAAAGCTTCAATCAAGTAAGCTTCAAACATAACTTCCAAAATTTGTGATGATATGGTTCGATCAGTTATGTAATGATAAGTTGCGTTTAGATCTTGTTGAAGTAATTAACCCAAGTTTTCTTAGTAGTGTTTTTATAAATCTCACACTGGGTTTGATTTATCAAAAGATTATCTTCTTTTTTGGTCAACGATCAAAATATTATCTATTATGGAAACATACTAATGAATCTGAAGAAAAAAAACATACAAATGTAACTTTAGCATGAATTCTTGCTATCGATTGTATATACATGAACATTAGGTGGTATTAAATATTAGCTACTTAGAGTATTACAGACAAAATCTCTCATATGGGAAGATAGATGGATTAATCCATTTATTACCAATTAGTTTTAGATTGGAAAACCCGAGTCAAAAACAATCTCTTTATGTTTGTTTATGAATCTTCATGACCATCATGTTTTAAAATTAATCTATGTGGGTTATATAATGGTCCTCGTCTAGTTTTGGTAAATTGACTTTTTTGAGATTGTGTTGATCAAATACAGCGCCTGAGGTTGTTGAGATGCCTGGTGATACTTCTTTGTCAAAGCTTAAACTTTTGTACATTCAAGCCAAAGAGCTCTCAGAAAGTGAAGTCACGTAAGCCACATCTCTTCATCATTTCCATTTCTTTAATGAGTTAGGGAGTGATAATACTACTAAATAACTACGTCTCAGTGTGACAAAATTAACCTTACTTTGGGTTTTATAGAACACTAATCTCTAAATCTTTGTGTTTAACATAGTGTTTCAAACATTCGGCTTACTCAACTAGATTCTCTGCTTCTATCTGGATCAACTGGACAACAACCCATAAAACTAGGTATAGTCCTGTCACGTTTTTACTCTTTTTTGGTCTTGTGAGAAAGGGAAAGGCTAGACACGGTTTTAAGTCTTAAACTTCTCCAATGATTCTTGATTTACATATAAGAGGGGTTAAGAATTTAATATGCTTGTAATGATATCACAGAAGTGGCAGAAGGCAACGATCAGAAGAGGAAGAGAATGAAAATGGAATCAGATGTAACAAGTGTTCCTCCTTCCATGAGAAATCAAATCGAGGCTTATACCAGTCTAAGGGGTGAACAAGTACAACAACAGTAACTACTTTTTTTCTTTGAGTTTGATTCAAATTAAAGTAAAAATAATCATTATAACATTTGTTGTATGTAGGTTGCTGCAAAACTCATAGCTGGTGATTCAGACAAGGATGAATGGTTAGTGGTGAAAGTGATTCACTTCGATAGAGAAACAAAAGAGTAAGCTTCAACTCTTCTAATAAGAATACCACATAGTCAAATATTATGTTTTGCGTCTACAATGGATTCATATATGGATCTCTAAAAAGGCTCACCACTTGTCACAGAGTTGAAGTACTTGATGAAGAACCAGGAGATGATGAAGAAGGAGGTGGCCAGAGGTAATTAACGCTCATTTCGAATATTAACTTTACAATTTTTTGCAATAACGATTTGAATAACTTGCTGATAATTATTCTCTTGTTATATCTTTGTAGGACGTATAAACTACCAATGTCATGCATATTACCGTTTCCAAAAAGGAATGATCCTTCAAACACACAAGAGTTTCTACCAGGGAAACACGTCTTAGCTGTATATCCAGGAACCACAGCTCTTTACAAAGCGACTGTAATAAGTACACCACGAAAGGTAAGCTTTGTCTTTTGCTTCCACACCATTTCAATCTCGCTTCAGCAAACTAATCTCTAAATACTGAAACATGCATGTTGCACATCTGGTTTCAGAGGAAGTCTGACGAGTAAGTTCCTCCACGATTCTGTTCATAACTATCATAACAGAATTAAGTTAAGATATAACAAGAGTCATCATGACACCAGGTACTTGCTGGAATTTGATGATGATGAAGAAGATGGAGTATTACCTCAAAGAACAGTGCCTTTCCACAATGTGGTAGCTTTACCAGAAGGCCATCGCCAGTGAAATGAGAGGGCTCTTCATGCTTGTTTCTTTTGAACCAAAGCCAAAACTTAAAGGTTGTTGGTTTCCTTCGTTTGTGCTCAAACAAGATAAATTTCTGTATTTATATCATTGTGAGCCATAATTTTGAACACAAATGAAACTTTTTCTTGTGTGAAAATTAAAAATTATGTTTACAAATTACACGTTTTGGGATACAAGTACAAATTTTAAGAGGCTGTAGAAAAAATAATATTTTCAATGAAGAGTTTAACCCAAAATAATTTTTTTTTAAAAAAGCTTCTTTGAGTAGGGTTGGGCACTTTACCCAGACCTGAAAAAACCCTTTTGAATGTGTTTTCCATTTCTCAAGTTTCCAGTGTATCATCCAAGTAAATGAGGAAATCATATGTAATGATCTGCAACACAATGTTCCTTCACATTAGTATTTCTAAGTTCAATCAATTTTTCCTGAGAAAATCTTATACAAGACCGAATCAGTTAATAAAGAAAACCAAATTATCATATACATGATTTGGTGTTATTTTTCTCGGATGAGATCAAAACAAGTTTGAAGAATGCAGATTCGAGTCATCATCTTTGTTCTTCTGTTCATCCACACGAGATTTGCAAGTCTGGAACTTGTCCTTTTTAGTTAATATCCACTACCACTAGCGAGAAAGCTGTAATGAAAATCGTCTCCAACAATAACACATAGTGCGAATAATGAGAATCGTCTGAAACATTTTACGTTTGACGGCTGTCTGAGTAAACCCTTTAATCTTTGTTCTACATTTACAAGGTTTTAACAAGAGGCATTTCAAAAAAAAAAAAAAAAGTTATGAGTATAAGCAAATTAACATATCTAAAATGTTTAACATTCCAAATTTGATAAGAAACGTACCCAACATCACACACTCAGCAAGGAAATAACAATATATTCAGTATTGAATGTGCAGACACGATTTCAAAACGTCTTCCTTAATTTGATATTAATAGTAAATGCCCGGACTTGTTGACAAAATAAATTAAAAAGTTAATGCCCGGACTCTATCTTTCTGCAATCTTGCCAAAATTGCTGCTAATTCCCACAATTAATTCCCTTGGACGATCACATTAACGTTTCATATTCTTCTATAAATAAACCTTCTTCATTCTCAGTATTATTGTAAATCAAGTCGGAGAAAACAAGCAAACAACACAAACATGAACCGATCAATGTCTTTTGTCTTGTTACTGGCGATTCTTGTCTCTGTGGCTGACGCTGCATGGGAAGACGCTCACGCTACGTTTTACGGCGACATTAGCGGCAAAGAAACCATGCGTTAGTATCTTCATATTGTTACTGATGATTAGTAGATATCTTTTTAAGTTCAATATAAGTGTCTATCTATTTAGTAATATGTAGACTATGAACATAGAGTAAATATTGGCTTTTTAATGAAAAGAATAATCGCATCTAATGATTTTTTAATGTTTTGGCGTGACAGAAGGAGCATGTGGTTACGGAGACCTATTCCAACAAGGTTATGGGTTAGAAACTGCGGCGCTAAGCACGGCGCTCTTCAACAACGGCCAGACATGCGGTGCTTGTTTCGAGCTCACGTGTGTAAACTCACAATGGTGCAAACAAAACGCTGGTCCAATCAGAATCACAGCTACCAACTTCTGCCCACCCAACTACACCCCACCGGTCGATATCCACTGGTGCAACCCTCCTAACAAGCACTTCGATCTATCCATGAAGATGTTCACTTCCATTGCTGAGTACAAAAGTGGGATCGTTCCTGTGAAGTTCAGGAGAGTGAAATGTCAGAAGAGAGGTGGTGTGAGATTTGAGATTAAGGGAAACCCTAATTTCATTATGGTTTTGGTGTATAACGTTGGTGGAGCGGGAGATGTGAATAGTGTGGCTATTAAAGGGCATAAGAGTAGTTGGATCTCTATGCAGAGGAACTGGGGACAAAACTGGAATACTGGTGTTGGTTTGGTTGGACAAAAGCTCTCGTTTTTGGTGAAGACCAGTGATGGTAGGATCTTGACGTTCTATGATGTTGCGTCGGAGTCTTGGGGGTTCGGTCAAACTTTTGAAGCGAAATCAAACTTTTATTAGATTGTCTTTTACTTGCTTTTTTCAGATTATTTTAGTTTCTTGAGTTTTTGTTGGAAGCTATTATTTCATAGTACTATAATAAAGACATTAGTTTCATAAATAATTTTTTGTTGAAGTTCAAAAATACTCCACAATGATATTGTTTTTATTGATGAATGAATTATTAGCAGAGGTTTGGCCCTATGGAAGAGCAATACCAATGATACAGTTATTAACTTTTTTTATAGTTAATAATATACACAAGTATTATAATCTTAAAATTTCATTGTTAAGATAAAGGTTTTGTTAAGATATCAACATTTTTATTCAACTTTAAGCTAGATACATTTTTGTTATATATATATAGCAGAAAAGAGATCGCATAGACCTTTTAATCAGATTATCAGAGCATAGCTTTTAACTATCTACTTCTACAAGATAAATCCTAAAACTTGTAACGCAAGTAGAGGCTTTCCATATTATGTTAATCTCGTGCTGCATCCCAAGATCCTATGATACCTCCTAACCTCTTGACCTCTTCTTCAGAAGCATACCATTTGGGTATAATCTTCGATGCGTAAGGGTACATATCCTTAGCTGAGCTCTTGATTGTATTCTCCACAACTTCCGTAGCCATCGCAATATCTACAAAAAAAAAAACAAGAATTATGAGTAACGAGCCAGAACTTGTAGCGTAAGTTACCTAGTTTTTATTTAAGTAAGGAACCAAAGAAGAATTGTTTTAATTACCTCGAATAGGATTCCTTTTGGTCTTAGATAGCTGGCTGATCATGAAGATAATAGTAGCAAGAACCGACTTAGGGTTTCTCCTGATATCGAAATTATCAGCTATTTCAACAGCTTCCCGTATGGCTTTTGTCTCTCTCTCGGTTATGTCTAGTTTAGAACAGAACCTGCGAACTAGTTCTCCTGTCTTGATAATCACCTGAGGAGGAGCAGCACAAGGAGAAGAAGAAGAAGCTGTCTCCCCTTGATCTGATGACTCGAGTAAACGCCTTATAGCCATACTCGCTTTGTTTATATCCTTCAAACTCACACCATGAGCCACCGTGGAGATCTCTTTCAACGTCCTCGAGAGATTCATCTCACGACAAGCCGTTGAAACAGCAGCCGCACAGACAGCTGTTAAGTGTTTACGTCTGCTCAATCTCTTGCTGTTGTCACCATTGAACTTTGAGACAATCTCGCAAGCCCTAAACTCGACGCCACTAACTAGGTTTAGACCATCCGTCATCTTCTTGATTTCTTTGCACGCTTTCACGATCATATCCTCCTCAGAGTTTCTGACGAGGTTCTGTGTTCGAGTCACTATCAAGTCGTTATTCTTGGAGGTGGTGGTGCTTTTATCGATGTTGGTGCCTATGCCTCCGGATTTGAGAAGAGGGTTGGTAGCTGCACCGACGCGGTTAGGGTCTCGGTCACAGTTATCATCGTTGGCGAACGTTCTCCATTCTTGGCTGTCGTCTATGTAGTGATCGGAGATGACGAGGCTACACTCTGTGCAGATTGTGTCGCCGGTTCTTATGTCGATCACAGTTTCGGTGACTCTCTTGCAGTCCAAGCAAGTGTCCATGATTATTCTCAGGTCTTTAAGGGTTTCTTGTGTAGTGATTGTTTTGTTGTTGTGTGATGGATTGATAGAAGTTGTAGTTGTTTTTATAGAAGTTTGTGACGAATGAGAAAGGACTAAAGCTAAGTTTCCTTTTCCTAGGAGGATCTTGATCAAAAGGAGGATCTTGATCATGTTTGTTTTACAAGTTTACCATTAGTAAAGGAAAATTTCCTTTTTTCTTGATTCACACGGTCAGATTTATTTATTATGCATCCTTTTATTTTAAATATATAGATTTTGGGCACTAAATTAAAATATTTAATGTTTATCATTAAAAAGCTATTTTAGATATAAAAAACACTAAAAAGGTTTTTTCGAATTTTTACCTCTATTATGGTCACTACCCATGTTAAACATTTTATAATTATTTACATTATTAATTAAAATATTATAATGATAAAAAATATTATTTATGTTGTTATTTGAAATTTCTTAAGTATTATAATTTTTGAAAATTTAATTGTATATTTTATTCATTATTAATAAATAAATCGTTATAATCTTCAATATTCTTTTTCAGTTATATAAAATTAAAAGTTTTACTTGATTAATATTTAATTATGTATTTTCTGTTTTTAATTAATACAAACTTAATGTTATATTTTTCAAATGTTTCTCAATTGATATAATAGGGAATTTTATCTGTTATCTAGCAAATTAACCCGGGGAATATGTCACAGTTAAGAGTCGTTGATTCTCTTTTTTTTTAATGGAAACTTTAATCAAATTAAAATATTTGAGCAACTTCTCTTTTCTGGAAGTTACACCTTTCAAATTAATTAGTGTTTCTATATATTGTAAGAGGAAATGGTGTTCATAGCCAAGAGGCCCAAGACTCTTTCCTCTTCTCCATTAACGAGTTTCACAGGAGGGGTTTTTCTATGTTCCAGGTATTTTTCCTATTCTATGAATCTCATCTGATTTTATTTTATTTGTCTTTCAACTTTGTGGTTTCTGTACCATGCAGCTAGGTCTTGCTGTCGTTTCTTATGACTTAATTATCTGTTTGGTTCCACCCCACATACTTACAGTTTCACATCTCTTGTTTAATGTTTGTAGGCTTTAGTGTCTGGTTTGGGGCTTCTTGCTAAACACCATGGATAGGATAAGTCAGTTGCCTGATACTCTCCTATTGCGTATACTGTCCGAACTGCCTACCGCTAAAGATGTTGTGGCCACTATGGTTTTGTCAAAACGTTGGCTTCCTCTGTGGAAGTCTGTGCCAAAACTTGTGTTCAAAGATGATATCTATCAAAACATTAATGATACTGGAAGGTTTTCACGCTTTGTCCACAGATCTTTGATTTTGCACAAGGCACCGCTTGAAACTCTGTGTTTCCAACTTACTCAAACTTCATCTGTCGTTGATATTGGAATATGGATTGAAATGGCGCTTCAACGCGGTGTGCGTGACCTGAGCATCGATATCGACTGTACTTCGAGTACAACTCCAGTTACACTTCCAAGGAGTTTATATACAGGCTGTGGAATTCTTGTGACCTTGATACTAAAGAGTGTGACTCTTGTGGATTCGTCTTCATTGCCTTCTTTCTCAACCCTCAAAACTTTGAACCTTTTATCTGTCAAGTACCCCGGTGATGAGTTTGTCAAGAGGCTATTATTAAATTGTCATGTTCTTGAAGATTTGCACGTGGAACAATGTCTGGATGACAATGTTACCGCTTTTACCGTTAGGGTTCCTTCCCTCAAGAGTGCACTTTTGGATAAAACACTAGACAGAGGGTTTGGTGAGGATGATGGGTTTGTGATAGATGCTCCTTCTTTGGAGCTGTTGGATGTTCTTATTATTTCAGGCAGTTTTTGTATCATTGAGAATGATATGCCTAATATTGATAGAGTAAGTGTTGTTCTTTATCATGATCCTTGGAAAATTCTGTGGGATACTACTTCAGTGAAGCGCCTTTCTCTATGTGTACCATACTCAAAGGTAAAATAATATCTTCTTGTCTATGACTAAAATTAATATGTAATTTTCCATCGCTGAAAACATGTATATATATGCTTTATTTTTCTATTTCTTTTTTTGTATGGCAGGCTTCAAATCCTGTTGGTCTTGTTTTCCACCGTCTTGTGCGTTTAGAAATGTGCACATCTGAGCCAGAATGGTTCAGTCTACTTATGTTTGTGCTCAGAGCTTCCCCTAACTTAAGAGCCCTCAAACTACAGGTATATATATATACGTACATTTTTTACCAAATTATTCAGTTTCATTTATTAGTATATCAAGTTATAATCTATAATAATGCATTGTATCTGTCCCGTGCAGCGTTGTTGCATTCGAGGTCAAGAACTTTTCTCCTTTTGGAATGAACCGAGTTTAGTTCCTGAATGTCTGTTGTCGAGTATTAAAACTTTTGAATGGGTTGATTATGAAGGAACCATAGAAGAGAAAGAAGTAGTAGCATTCATCTTAAGAAGTGGAAGATGTTTGAAGAAGGTGAATATCTCCTCGGCAACCACTGACTCCGGCTAGAAACTTTGAGATGCTTTTTAGGTGTGCACCTACTTGAGATATTTTCGTTTTGATGCTTATTAGTATTTTTGATGTTTTTTCTTTTTACATTCTATTTGAGGGTTTTGCATTTCTTTTATTGTTCTTGCTTTATTCTATGCCTATTAGAAAAAAAATCTACTTATCAAAATCTTCTTCACCATCTCCACCTGATAAAGTCAAAAGTCTATTTTTAAAGCATACACATGAAAACATGGACGCTGGTTACTAAACTGGAGTTTCATTTTGAATGTGTAGTCTCAACTCGCGACACAACTCCGTCGGAAGTCGAGTGCTTTTGTCTCTCGAGAGAGAGGTGTAACCAATACCCAACACGTGTCTCTTAAGCACCGCTTCTTTAAGGGCATGATTAATAGAGGGGCTTAGGAGTTGCTTAGTGAGGAGACCCATAAAAAAAGAGGAGAAGTCGGTTGCAAAAGAGCCAGAATAAACACTGACTTTTGGTGGATGTTTGTACTATTCATGGCCCCCATGAACACGTATTAATTTTAGCATAGACAAGAAGAATCTATATTGGTTCGGATCTGAACCCAAGACAAAATACCTATTAACTATTTTTTGGATATGTGGGCTTTTGTTTGAGTCTGGATCTTGCCCAAGATCTTATCAGATATCCAAAATACATAAATTAATGTTTGTGTATATTAGATATGTTTGGATATTTTGGATATATTTTCGTATTACGAATATTTTTTAAGTTTTGAGTTTTAGTTTTCAGTTACAGTTTCAAGTTTAAGGTAAACTTTCTGAATAATTTAAAAATATTTTGGGTATCTAGATGAAAGATTGGGTACTTTTTGGTTTATCGGGTCAGATTTCAGATCAATTTTGAGTATTTTTTTGTGTTTTATGTATTTTAAATTTTTTGGATATTTCTAATCTCTTTCAAATCATAAATATCTTAACCGATTCAGACCCGTTAGGTATCCAAATATTATATGTAATTTACATGTATTTTAATTATTCATTCAAACCTGAAAGGACCGACACAAACCCAAACAAAAAGAAAATCAAATACCTACTTAGGTCTAAATGTCTATGATCCGAAACATCCATACGCGAAAGAAACCGTTCCATACCTAATCCAGAGATCCGGATGCCTAAGCTTACTCTCTTTTATTATATCTATGTGCATTTTATAAAATTTATATTTATAGTGTTTGGTGAAACTTAAAATTACTTGACAGTGTTTTGGCTAATTTAATAGTATAGATTTATAAGATTTTTTCGAGTTTTAAACTTATATACAATCTTTATTATAATTATTTTCTAAAAATAATTTAACATAATATATATAATTTTGCAAACATTTTTTTTATAAATATTTGGAACTATATAATTTAAGAAGATATGATATAATATGTTATATGATAACTCATTTTAATAATTGATGTTTAAATTTTTAATGGTAATTTACGCAACAATTGCGACACAATCTTAGTAGCAACAAAACATACAAATATATACTATATGTAGTTATTCTGAACATAAAATATATTATATATTGTTGTGTAATAACTCTAACATTGTAAGCCGTTTATCAAAAACAAAAAAACCTCTAACGTTGTATGATAAAATATGTTACTATTGAACATAAGATATGTTTTATAACTATACGATTTGGACCAATCCATTTGAATGCAAAATTTTGATATCGACATACAGTATATACAAAATCTCTTTTCAAATGGTATTTGGTAACTATACTATCTAAAGAGCCATATTTATAATAGGATAGATATGTCACACAAACTTTCTAAAAATTAAACAAATATCTAACAATTAGAAAATTAATATATTACCTAAAATATTAGAGAAAAATCTTGATAAGATTCGTAGGATTATATTTGGTCATATAATAAAAATTAATTATAATATTTTGTTATATGTTATAGGTTAGATTATTAAGAAAGAAAAAAGTCCAAACAACTTGTATAAGTATATTTTTTAGGACTTATTCTCTTTTAATAGTATTGATTAAGCTAAGCACTGGTCTTAAGCACCCCGGTTGAAGATGATCTCAGAGTTCGTTAACAAATTAAGTCTTTGCTATATTGCATAGACCTCCGGTTCTTGAAAGCTTTTCTTTGAAAGTGGATATGTTTCAAGTTAGTCTTCTAGATATTACGGATTAGAACCATGGTAGATCACGGTGGTGTTCGTGAGCAACTAGACTATACTGCCAATGAAGATCCTATCAGACTTCCTAGGAGCTTTTATACGTTCTTCCAACTCTTACTCGGTTTTCTTTTGAGTAGAGAATCATAAAACTTATCTTCATAATTTTGCTACAATATATGACTTGACTTTACGTTTGATTGTTGTTGTAGAGCAGTGTGTGTCAGTTTTACTTGTACGGGTTTGCTCTCTCTCTCATTTGGTGCAATGTTTTAAACACTTTTTTTGTTGAGCTATTTTGGCGAATAACGATGAAGAAGAAGATAATTAGCTAGGTAGTAACGTATATTGAGTGCAAGAAACAGGAGTGGTGGTTTTACCTGGATGTCCCTACTTACTCATAAGGATTTCGTATGCAAATGTCAGAAATGGAAGGTGGCCTATGCTATAGCTTCTGAGTCAATAGTACCCTATAGTATTCAAATTCNACACCGTCGCCGGTTAATGATTCAATGGTCCCGCGTATGATGTTTGCTACCGGTGAGGAACCAGTCGGAATCCGAGTCCTAACCTACCAGTCTTCAAGAGCACTAAGACGGATTCTTAACAGTCTCGACACAGACGAGAGGTGCATAATCCAGAAGTCTTCTTTTGGGAAAATGTTGGAAATAGCGGAGAAGCCATTATTTTCAGGGAGATTTGCACGATATGTCATGTCGCGGCAACTGAAGGTAGACAAGAAATACGAGGTTTGGTTTAGGTTCGCAGGGCACCCTATTCGTTTTTCATTGCGTGAGTTTGCAATCGTGACCGGTTTACCGTGTAGCAATTATCCTCCGAAGTCAAGAATGAAATTGAAGGCAACACTTTCTGAGAAACCTTACTGGCCAGATTTATTTGGAAAAGTAGATGTTGTAACAGTAGCTTCTGTTGTGAAGATGCTTAAAAGAAGGACGGTTAAAGACAAGGAGATTCGAGTGAAGTATGCATGCCTAGCAATATTGTCTGCAATCCTCCTCCCAACGAATCTGAAGATGAAAATCTCAAGAGAGCATGCAGAAGCAATAGAAGATTTAGATGAGTTTTTCCAATATCCTTGGGGCCGAGTGGCATTCGAAATGTTAATGGGGAGCATCAAAGAAAGAGACGAGGTTAGTCTCTCACAAAATACAATTGCGATTAAAGGTTTTGCGCTAGCAATACAACTAGTATTGGTTGAGGCTGTCCCTTCACTCACAGAAGTAGTGCAAGAGAGTTGTTCTTCTTCAGAATCAGACAGCGAAGACAACATAGAGGAAGAGACGGAGCGATCAAGTAAGAAACATACATTAAGCCCAAGCCATGCCAGAAACATAGACAAGAAGGAGAATGTAAGAAAGATATAATCATTGTGTATCATAAATTTGTTTTGTTATTTTGAGTGAAATTAACCGGATGCTATTACCTTACAATGCAGGTTTTTGTTAAATGCATCATAGATCACGATCCAAAGCACCCAATTGATGAAACAACACTGACTTGGAGGGATGAGATAGAAGATAACAAAGTAGACTACCTTGAGAGTCTAATAGAAAAAGGGCATATCTTCACAACGGGTATGTTCAAGGGTGGTGCAAGTAAAGGTGATGTTGAGAAGATGAAAGAAGAAAGGAAGGGGAAGTGTAAGGACCGAAAACCTAGAAAGAATGCCTCAGATTGTAGGATAGGAGAAACGTCACAGGCGGACAACAATGATATCGAGAAACTACAAATGAGAGTCGTTGCATTGGAGAGTAAGGTAGAGGAGGTGGTGGTAACCATGGAAGAGATGAAGAAGATGTGCGTAAAGTTGGAGGAAACCGTGAAATCCACTTTTGAGGAGAAGTCTGAAGCATTGCGGAAGAGTGTGCTGGAGAACTTAACGATCACGATTGCAGAAGAAGTAGCAAAGCAACGAGAAGCCGCTGAGTTAGATTTGACCCGTGGAAAAGAAACTCTAAATGACGCTGGTGATGAAGAGAGTGAGCACGAGGCAAGTATACGAGACGTCATAGAGAACATAAGCCACTATTCAACCCCACAAAAATCGGCAAGAGCTGACGTGGTAAGTCACTAAAAAGAAGTACCAGATTTATATGTACAAAAAAGTAATATCAATTGTTAACTGGATTTTTTACTCCTCTTGCCGTTTCAGAGGATTTCCTTAAGCAACAATTGCAATGTCCAGAGTGCATTGATGACACCTCAAACAAAGGGACCAAGTGCAGGTGTATCAAATTCAGCTCATAGCGAAACAAGTAAACGACGATATGACATATTTCAAGCTAAGGTACCATTAAGAGAAAGAGCATTTGTAAAGAAGGCGTATATTGGAAATAGTAATGTGTTGATTAATGTTGTATTGTACAACAGGATGTGGAAGGAGAAGGAGTGGAGGTAATGGAACAGGGAGACATAAATGAGGTATTTAAAATTCGTGTATTAGGCTTAAAATACTATAACTAAATTGTAACCATGTTGGCATAGTCAAAAGTATTGCATAAAATAGATATGTTAATAATTTCAACCATTCTAATATTACTAAATAAATCCGTAGAATGGCGTGAACAACCAACTCTTAGCCAAGGAAAATGCAGGCATGGATAACGAGGTGGAGGATAGTTCCCATAACATTCAATCGGTCCCGGCTAGAAAAGAGAAGATTGACAACAGCATTACAAGGATAACAGAGAAGGTACATATGAGGGAAGAACAACACGTTCTTCACTAGTATCTAACATCGACAAAACCAACAATAACGTATACGTTTATTTGAAGGAAAACGGACCGGTGACAACACAAGAAGAAGGAGAAGTTCCATCGTT